ATATCCATCATCTATCCATCTATCTATATACCTATACAATCATCCATCCGCTCATCTATATATCCATTCATTTATATATCCATCATCTATCCATCCATCTATATACCTGTACAATCATCCATCCATTCATCTATATATGCATGCATGCATCCATTTATATACATATATAATCATCCATCCACTCATCTACATATCCATTAATTTATATATCTATCCATCTATATACCCATACAATCATCCATATACTCATCTATATATCCATTCATTTATATATCTATCTATCCATCTATATACCTATATAATCATCTATCCATTCATTTATATATCCATCCATTCACCCATCGTTCATCCAACCAGCTATGTATCTGCTTAACCATCCATCCATCTATCTAGCCACCCATCCATACATCTGGCTATTTATATATCCAACCATCTATCTGTCCATCCATTCATAAATACATATATATCCACCTATTACACACACACAAGCACATATCCCTCATTCATATCTATCTATCTATCTATCTATCTATCTATCTATCTATCTATCTATCTATCTATCTATCTATCCATTTGTCATTCATATACATACATACATACATATCCATTATTCATATATATATATATATGTCATTCATACACACACACCCATTTATCCATTCATTTATCTATACACAAGGCAGCCAGATATATATCTACCCGACCATCCTCCACCTACCCACTCACTTATCCCACTGCAGTTACTGAGATGCATGCCCATCACCCATTTTGATCTCTAAATGACCCAACCTAGCAGGCATCATTCACTAGGTGTTTGAGATGAGGAAATCGAGGTACTGAGAGGGAAGCCGCACTCCACCCCACCCCACCCCCAGCCAAGGAGCTGTGTGTCCCAGATCTAGGCCCTGTTTCATTCAGGAACTCGAAGATCAAGCTGTAGCTCCCGTGGGACTGTTTGTTTCTGGGAAACTTTTGTGTGGAAACATTCTGTTCCGCACAAAGATAACAGCATCGTAATGAGCTGTTTATCTCTCTGGTCTGCAGAGGACGCCTTTGATGAATTATTTAAGCTGGCTCCAGAGAAAGTGCATGCCGTGGAAGAGGTAGGAGATCAAAGCTTCCCACGCCCACCACCTACCTGTCTGGGTCTCAGGGTGATGGGGGAGGACACAGGTCTCACTCCATGCCAGTTGGGTGCTGGGTAATAGAAGGGAAGGCTTTCTGTCACCCCAGGTTGGAAGGTGGTGTGAGGGTCCCTGAGTGGTCTTGAGGTCCTTGCTCTTGTGTCTTAGGCCATCGTGAACTTTGTCAACCAGAAGTTGGAGCGCCTGGGCCTGTCTGTGCAGAGTCTGGACACCCAGGTAGGGACACTTGTGGGTCCTCATGCAGGGACGAGAGCTCCTGGGCCCGAGAAACTTACTGTGTGACCGGAAGTGAGGCATCACCTTCAGTGATCTCAGGGCCCTCTCTAGTGGGATGTGCTGCTGGCAGGCAGTATTGCCACAGGGAGCCCCTGGGACCACTGGGTTGGGGGCCTGTGGGAAGCTGTGAAGGCTGGGCCATCTCTACTGCTGGCTTTGTTTACTCATTTATCAGAATGACTCCTAGGTCATGGGACACCCTAGGGCATACTGAAGCCAGAGGGAGGGGCCTCCCCTGTGATCATGTTTATTCAGATGTAGCACTGAGATTCATGATGGGTCCATTTCTGAGGTTGGTGCCAGGAGTGGTTGGAGAAGCTGATGCAGCGCCACCCTCGGCGGGCTCCGTCCTGAGCCCCGAGGGCTTTGCCCACCATGAGGACACAAACTGAGTCGTCCTAAGGTGGGAGCAGGTTCAAAGTGCCTCACCTAACCATGCCCTCCACGGAGATTCTGTGTCTCTAGTGTTCCCACAACCCAAGGGGATGGAAATGCAGAGATCTGACACTGCTGGGATCTACAGGGTGCTGATGGGGTCTGGTGGACACTGGGCAGACCTCCACAGGCTGTGGGTATCGGCCATGTCTCAAGGCCCATGCAGAACCGGCCACAGCTGCTGTCTTCTCAGGGACACGTGGGTGGCTGTTAGCTAGGGAGGGCCAGGCTACATAGTCCCCAGTTTGGGGCCAAACAGGAAAGTTCTTGGTACCTGTTCTGCCTGGAGCAAAGTTCTCCCTGCCATCAATCAACTCTGCAATCCCCCCTACCCGCTGTGAGAACTGATAAAACCCCATTCAACAGATGAGACTTTTAAGACACAGAGAGCTTAGGTAACTTAGCTAAAGTCACACAGTGACTAAGGGGTGGTCCTAGGTTTTGGACCAAGGCAGTTGGGGTTCAAGTGTACGCTTACAGCCACTGCTCATGGTGGGTGGTCATGTGAGCTTTGTGAGTGCTGTGGCAACATAGAGGGGTGGAAGCACAGACTTCAGGGCCATGCGCATGTGTGTTTCCATCCCGTGCCTGCCACTTTGTGCCCCTGGGCTCTGAGGACACTTCCATACGGCTGTGTGACCTTGGGTCAATTACTGGACTTCTCTGAACCTTAGGCTCGCCGCTTTATAAAATGGGAGCAATTCCCCCTCCTGGAATTGTGAGTCGGGGAACACTGCTACTTAGTGTCATTTTGTATCTGTCACTTGACTCACTGTTGATCTCCCGGAGCGACACACCCATCTCTGACTGTGTTTTCTGTGGGGAGCCATAGGACGACATCTCCGGTTTACTCACTTCTCCGGTCCTTCCCTCCTGTGCTAAAACAAGAGTGAGTGAGCAGGGGGGACATTTGGACCTGACGGGATGGAAGAGGCAGCCTCAGAGTTAGGTTTTCCCAGCTACCTTTTGAGGACAGCAGTAGAGAAGCTTCTGGGCCCAAACTAATAACATCCGAACAGACTTAATCGGGGGAAATTCCATTAAAGACCGAACAGCGCCTTTCGAACAGCGTCTCTCTGCGGCATCCAATCTTGTGCTTTGTGCGTTTGAAGAGATTCAGTAGGATTACATTAGCATATGGTAAGGCTCGTGGCTGTGTTATCTCAGAGCGTGCACACAGAACAGACAGAAATATTAATGGGCCCGTGTGCTCCTCTCTGCCTGTCCTGATGGGCGAATTTTATACGAACTCTGTTTTCACACATCTCTCATGGAATAAATTGTCATTTAAAACCGGACATGATGGGGGTGGTTCCGCTGGTAGAGCACTCGCCTGGCAAGCCAGCATCCTGGGGTGTGGTGGCACACATTTCTTTTTTTATATGTGGGAGTGCTGGCCTATGGGTGTGTATGCGCAACACGTGTGTGCCTGGTCACCGCAGAGGCCAGAAGGAGGTGTCGGAGTCCCTGGAGTTTATAGATGGTTGTGAGCTGCTGGGTGGGTGCTGGGAACCAAGCCCCAGTTCTGTGTAAGAGCAGAGAGTGGTCTTAACAGCTGAGTCCAGGCACACATAGTTAAACCCAGTGCCGGGTAGGCAGAGACAGGTGGAGTCCTGAAGCTTGCTGGCCAGCCTGCCTAGTCTACTTGGCAAGTTCTAGGCCAGTGAAAGATTGCCCCCTCCCACCCCCAAATAGGTAGGCTGTTCCTGAGAAATAATAAATGCCCTAGGTTGCTCTTATGGCCCCTACATGCACATGTGTGTATGTGCATGGGTATTCACACATATACACATACATGCACACATATGAAAACACACACACACACACACACACACACACACACACACACACACACACACACACACACCCTGAGACTATTCCATAGTAAGGTTAGAAACTGCTCTTTTAATTGAATGTATTCGAAGAGGCAGACAGCCCCTGAAACTGCTGCTGTTGACAACCCCATGCGGCTGGGCATGCCATCCCCACTTCTCAGAAGGAACACGAGGCTCAGAGAGGTGGTGCAACTTCTTTCAGCTCACACAGCATGTAAAAGGCAGGACGGAACCCCCTCCCATGTCAGCCTCTCCCACACAGGCGGGAGCTCTGGTTCCTTTCTTTGGCATGTTAGTTCCTTGTATGTGGTTCCTTGTGTGTCACTGTGACAAATGCCTGAGACCAAGGGGAAGGGTTTGTTTCACTCACAGGTTCTGGCGGGGTCTCTTTGCTTGGGCCCCACATGCCTGGGCAGGAGTGTCTGGTGGAGGGCAGCTGTACACAACATGGTGGATAGGAAGCTGAGAGCCCAGTAGGAATGGGCCAGGGAGACTGCACCGTCCAAGGACCCACCCCCAGTAATCTAGCCAGGCCCCACCCCACAAAGTGTCCAGCTGGGGACCAAGTGTTCACAGCGTGCTGTGGGGATGGTTTTGGACTGATACACAACACCTGTAGTTTGCAGATGGCGTCATCCTGCTCCTGCTGATCGGACAGCTGGAAGGCTTCTTCCTGCATCTGAAGGAATTCTATCTCACTCCCAGCTCTCCCACAGAAATGGTAAGCTTCCAAGGTCTCCCTCCATGGATTTTTTTGGGTGGTGGTGTTGGACAGATTTATGGCATTGGCCTGACAGTCTTTATTCAATTCCAAGCCATGAGGAAGGTCTCTAGATGAAGCTTCTCCCAGGCCTCTTGGCCTTAACCTCCCTGGCCTTTCCTTCTGCACCCCCAGGAAGAGGGAGGCAGATGGTGTCCCCACTTTATAGAACAAGACCGAGATCTTGGAGTCTGGTAGTGCTCCCCTGGGACCACACAGATCCCTGATGTAAGTGTGGCCCCCAAGAACAATCCATCCCTGAACCCTTCTTAGGAGCAGGGTGAGCCTATGGGAGGCTCACAGTGTGGGACAAACCTGAGTCCATCGAGTGAGACATCAGGAACGAACCATGAGAAGAGTCTTAGGAGGGAGGCAGGCACCACAGGAAGCCAGGCTTGGCAATGTGGGCCCATGCCCACGGCCTTCAGCAGCCAGGCTTCTTGGGATGCAAGGCCCGTTCTTGCTACTTCACATGTTCCAAACCAGGTCAAGCCAGTGCACAGAGGGCCAGCATTCATGGCACAGCTAGCCTGTGAACCCACCATTAGATCCTCTTCTGACCCTTCTAGGGAATAGACATGGAAGCATGGCTTTAGTTCAGAGCCCAAGAGGAGACTTGGGGCAGGAACATGGCTGACAACACTCAGGTCCTTAGCTGGAAGCCGGAAACCCGGGTGGTTCTCTTGTGGAGCGGCCTCCCAGGACTGCGGTTTTTCATTCTCAGGTTGTGCTTGATTGCAGTGTAGATGCAAGGATGTCAGCATTCATTTCTGGAGTCAAGCTAGGGACACAGAGAGAGGGGGTCATTTGCTTTGCAGAAATCAACGCGCCCAAGCCAGGAAGCTCTAGCTTCCTCCCACGTTCAATTATCTCTCTCAGGAAGATAGAAATGCATCTCCTGGGTCCTGGCCTTTCTAGGCTCTGTAGAACGCGGAGCTTTCTCTTCATCATCCCAAACTGCTCAGAAGCAAAGGACAGGCTGGGGAGGGTGAAGTGGGTGTCTCAGGAGCCTGACCAGATCTTTGGCTCACGAGCTTGGCGGAGGAAGTGTGCTCAGGGAAGCCCGGTGTTCTCTGAGTCGCTCAAACACACTCTTCCAAATGGACTCCCTGAGAGCAGGCGCTGTTCTGATTCTGGGCTTTGTGTATGGCCAGGACCACATTTGATGGTCCACAAGTATTTGCAAAATATAAGAGTGATGGGAGGGCCAGATGGCTCAGTGGCTAGGTGTGCTTGCTGCCAAGCCTGATGACCTGAGATGGATCCCCAGAACCCACGTGGTGGAAAGAGAACTGACTCCTGCACGTTGTCCTCTGACCTCCACGCATGCTGTGGCATACAGTCCCCTCCACAAATAAATAAATAAGTGTAAAAATAAAATAAATGTAGTTACAGGCCAGGGCAGCCACACAGGCGTCCAACATTCCTGGCACAGTCAGCCCTCAACCCCATGACATCAGAACATCAGATCGTGAGTTGGAATAAGTGAGGGAAACTGGGTAGCTGTGTAGCTCAGGGCCCAAGAGAGGAGGGGGCTGGTGGAAGAAACTGCAGTGTAGGAGACCCGCGGTTGGCGCCTGCTTCCAACCCCAGCTATTTGAGAGGCTGAGGCAAAAGATCACAAGTTTGAGGCCAGCCTGGGCTATAGAGTGAGGCCAAAGCCAGTCTGGACAGCTTGGTGAGACCTTGCCTCCAAATAAAAAGTAAAAATAGGCCTGGAGGTATGGCTCTGTGGTAGAGCATGTGTGGGAGGCCAATCTCCAGGAGTGCGTGAATGAAGCATTCCCCAAAATTGGCCACATGAGGTGCTGTGATAAATGGAGTCTGCGGTCAATTAACTCAGGGAAAATAGAAATACCCTGGAAGCTTGGCATGCATTGGTGTGTTCAAAGGCTCTGAGAGGTCCTTCAGTGAAGGATCCAACAGTTTCCAAAACCATTTTGGCCACAGATACCTCTTCCTTGACATCGCGGATCCCTCTCTAGGGAGGTGCTGTGTTGTCAAGAGCATCCGGGGTGGGACTCTGAGGTGCAGGGCAGGGAGCTGGAGTTCTCTCTTACTGATATTTACTTCCGGGGTGCTGGCCAGCAGCACTCCTGCTGAGAATGTGTCAATAGTGGGGAGTCCCTCTTCCCAGGATGTTCTGTGGAAAGAGACTTGGGACCACAGAGGCAGGCCTGAGCATTTACTCAGACTACTTCCCTCTTGGTCTGGACCTTCCTGAGGGTGCCTAGTCGTCCTGTAGAGCTGTGGGCCAGTGACCCGTCTTCCCAGTGTTCTTGTTTTGCATCATGACCCTACTCCTGATGACCCTCCAAGCAGAAAGACTGCTTATCACCTTCTAAGGGTGAGGGGTGTGCTCTACCACCTACAAGCCCTAGCTCCCTTCTGAGACAAAATCCCTTCACCCGACAGACTCACACGCAGAGTGTCACCTCCACCAGAACACTCTCCCCTCCCACTCCCGTGGAATCTCCTCAGCGAGGGTCTTTCCCTCCAGCAGTGTCTGCTTGATGGCCCATGTCCAGCGTGTGGCATCTGCTGAGGGCTATGTGCTGATGAGGGTCTCGGTGCGAGGGAGTGAGCTCTCCATTCACAGGGCATGGAAGGAGATGTTGGGTGTCCCCTAATTGCTGCTGTGGTTCAGGGATTCAAAACCTTGGATGGGCAAGGGCAGATGCCATTGGTGACAGCATGGGCCTGGTGCCTGGACCCAGGCAGGGTCTCATTGGCTGACATTTGATCGGCTTTATCATCATAGCTGCACAATGTCACCCTAGCCCTGGAGCTGCTGAAGGATGAAGGCCTGCTCAGCCACCCTGTCAATCCTGAAGGTGAGTGCATGGCCGCCCATTGCCCGGATGACCTGCTGTGGATGTGACTGAGAGCGGTTGTGAGGAGTTGGGGGACAAGCATTGGTAAATGGAGTCCACCTGCTTGCTGGTCCATAAAGAGATGCTGACTGTGAGGTTTCCTAGGAGGGGTGCTGTGGCCATCATGTCTGCATGCAGGGACTGAAGTCCATGGGAATGAGTGTTCAGAGCAGCCAGATTTCCAGTCACTGCTGGGGGAAGGAACATGGATGCAGGGGAAGCCCAGACAAGAGAAGGGACCCTCCTCCATCCCTGGGGACCAATGGTCCTCCCTAGCCTGGCCTGACAGGCTGCCTTCTCCCTCTGCCCACAGATATTGTGAACAAGGATGCCAAGAGCACACTGAGGATACTCTACAGCCTGTTCCAGAAGCATGCGCCGAGGGCAGAGGGTGATGGGGCACCCCGTGGTACCCCAAACTAGTCACCTCTGTCTCCCCCAAGCCATTTCTCAGGACCTGCCACCTCTGGAGGACCCAGCAATCCTACATCCACCCACCCCAGCCTTGTTACTGTGGGTGGGTGACATGCTTCCCTCCCACACCCGTCCTGCTTACATGTACACGTGGGCTGATACCTTTGACCCCACCAGATGGGGATCTGTTTTGAGCCACCCCTGCTTTGCTCAGATCATTTTGACAGCTGTATGGATTGTATTCTGTGAGTGGGGGGAGGGTGGTGCTCTGGGTGCCTGTGGAGTCCGGGGTGAGCCTTTAACTATGGTGAAAAGACTTGAGTTCTCAGGCTAGACCAGACCGCAACAGCCCCCAATCTGTCTGCTAAGGCTATACCAGGACAGTTAGTGGCTTCCCAGCTCTCCACAAAGCTGACTTTCCCTAGCCATATGCTCTTTGGCACCAAGGCTGATGGCCTGAGTGCACTCAGCTCCTGGCTGTCTGCCTCTTACTTGGCCCAGGGTCATCACCCAAAGACTGGAGGAGCCCCATGAGGGAGAAGTGGATTCAGTTTCGTGTCAAAGGACCCTGGCCAGGCTATCCCTACAGCCGCAGTCCTGAGCTTTGCCCCAAGGGAAGAGAGCCTGTAGTAGGTTCCCGGGTTCAGGCTATCTCTCTGGTCATCTTTAGGGAGCCATGAGCATTCTGTCCTATGAGACTTTGTGTCTTCTGCAAAGACAGAGAAACAGCTCAAGAACTGAGCTGGGTCCATCCTGGCTGGAGGAGAAGCTATTAGGGGAGACACAAGGCATGGGGTGTGAGGTTGCAGACACATAGAGGTGTACAGGTTCGAGGGTGCAGGGATGTGGGGGAGGCCAGCCCATTGTCACTCCTCTGGACTTTTTCCTGTCTGCCCAGATCCAGACCTCTGGTAGGAAAGGCATCTAGGTTTGGGAACAGCTTTGCTTTTGGGGACTTTGGAGCAGAGTCTGGACAGGACAGGACACCCCTCCTAAGACAGTGGGTGGAGCTGGGAGTGACCTGGGGCACTGGTGTCTGATGTGAGAAGTCTAGAGGCTCTTCTTTCCACCCACCTCCCATCCACCTGTCCCCTTGCCTGCTCATAAGTCTTACAGCAGTGGGGGTTCTCATCACACATCGCCTCTGTCCCACTGACTCTGGGACATGTCCCTCTCCCATGGCGGCGGCATCATCACAGTAGCTGGGGGATAGTTGCCTCTACTTCAGGTAACCTTTCCATGAAGGCCTTCCTCTAGGGCCCATTTGTTCTCTCTGGAGCATCCTGAGCCATGGTGGCCGGAGTCCACACTCACTCACCTCCTGGGCTCTTGGCTCCCTCTTTCCTCCTTCACTGCCTGCTTGCCCATTTGGCTCCTCCACGACCTCACTTCCACGTCCCCACCTCCTGCCTGATAGCAAACTTTTAAGTGCTGACGATAATAATAATTTTTGTAATTTTATTGAGGAATAACTAACATGTCCCAGTTGAAGTGTACAAGTGAATGACAGCTGGCAAGCATACGCAGTCACATACCTCCACCAGAAAGAAGGGTCAAGCGCTGAAACAGCCTGCCGCCTGGTGTCCCAGCCTTCGGAGTCCTGGCCTTGGAAGCGACCGATCCACTTTCTGTTACTGTCATTTCCCCTTTTCTACATCTTTTGGAAACTGCATCAGAGGGGAAGTGGTCTTCCACGTGGGGGTTCTTTGCCCTGGTGCAATTCTGCCATCTCCACGGTGACCCCACAGCCCATCCCTCTGCTTGCTGACGACGGGCCCCCTCAGTGGGTGCCAATCATACGTCCATGCTTTCGCTGCCTACAGAACTCGAGGACTCTCCTTACTGTCCAGTTTTTATGTCATCGACAGGGATTGCTCTTCCTGTCTTTCAGATTGCGGAGCATGCGCTCCTCTTTGTCTGGACACTTCCTTTCACTTTTCCTGGGTGAATACCCAGGCCTGACACGACCAATTCCTACAGTAATTGTATGTTTTATTCTGTAAGATACTGTGAAATGGTTTTTGGAAGTAAACATACTGTTTTCATTCCCACCTGCAATGCCCAAGAGCTCCAGTTACTCTGCATCTTGACAACACTTGGTATTATCTGTCTTTTCGATGTTAGCCATTCAAACGGTGCGTGGTGGTATCTCACCGTGTGATTTTTAAATGTTATTCCTCTAGTGACGGAGGGTTTTGAGAATCTGTATTAGTCAGTTCTGGGTACTGTAACAAAATGCCACAGACCAGGCAATTTAAATAACAAACAGTCTGTTGAATAGTTATGGTGGCTGGGACTTGGAAGATGGAGGAGCTGGCAGATCTATCTAGTGGCTGGTGAGAACCCTTCTCCTGGCCCAGAAATGTTTTTATTTCTGTGTCTTCACGAGGGTGTGTGTGTGTGCATGTGTGTAAGGGGGGCTACCCGAGAAGAGATGGAGAAAGAAAGGCTTCACTTTCTTCTGGGGACCCCCACCTTCATCTGAATCTAATCACCCCCACATAGTATTCTTCCACATAGTGTGGTAGTCGGGGGTTGGGGGTGGGGCAAGGGGGTCAACACAGGACTGGGGAGGGACAGCGTCCATCCCAGGTGATGTCTTCTGTGTTTTCCACCCCTGTGTCTTCCTTGGCAAAGAGTTGGTTTCAATCATTTGCCTTAAAAAATAATCACGCTTTGGATCCCCTGGAGCTGGAGCTACAGGCCTGATGTGGGTGCTGGGAATGGAGTCTGGATTCTCTGGATGAGTCGTAAGCGTTCTTGCCACGGCGCTACCTTTCCAGCCCCATTTGCCTATTTTTTTTCCTTTAGTGTAGAAAAATTATTGTAATTTAAGCTTCCTGTGTAGCATTGGATGCATTTTGAGTTAATTTTTACATAGAGGGCAAGGGTTGAATTGTAATTTTTCCCGCTGGGTGCCTCATTATTCCAGCGCAATCTGTTGTAAAGACTTTCCTTCGCCCACCAAATCTCCGCGGTGCCTCGGTGGAAAATCAGTTTGCCGCATGACTTCCGGCCCAGGGCCGGGCGGCGCTCATCTGTGTGCAGTGCGCACCACGGTGGTGGCGGTGGCGGCGCCAGGGTCTTCGCTGCTGGGGAGTCCACGAAGTCGTGAGACCAAGCCGTGGGTCCCCAGCTTTGTTCTCTCTCTGCAAAGCAGCGTTGGCTCCTCGGAGCCCTATTTAATTCATTTGATCTGGATGTAAAATTAGAGTCCGTTTGTCATTTTCTAATTTTAAAACAGCCTCTGAGATTTTGATTGGAGCTGTGCTGACCCTTCAGTGAAGGGAGGGAGGGGGTCAGCCGACGGCCTAGAACTCTGGGAAGCTGGGTCGCCGCCGCCGTGGGGACCTCCTCTCTCCTCCCTCCTCTCACCCTCCACTCCTCCTTTATCTCTTTTCTTTCCTCTTCTTTCCCTTCCCTCCCCCTTTTTCTATTGTAATTTAGAAATATTTTCATTAATTCTTTGAGAATTTCACACAATGTATTTTGATCATATTCACCGGAACTCCTCCTCTAATTCCTCCCAGACCCTTACCTATCTCCTTAGCCCCCAACAGACTCCTGGTGTGCGGCCATCCACTGCAGCATGGTCCAGCAACCAGGAGCCCCCACCCTCAAAGAAAACTGCCTCTCCCTCCCCAGAAACCATCAACTGTCCATAACGCCTCAGTAAGGGGTAATGGTTTGTTTGTTTTTATTTGTTTTGATATGAGATCTTGTATTGGTCAGGATTCTCTAGAGGAATAGAACTTATAAAAACGAATCTCTCTCTGTATATATATAGCAAAGAGATTTACTAGAGTGGTTTACAGGTGTGGTCCAACCAGTCCCGACAGTGGCTGCCTGCAAATGGAAAGTCCACGAATCCAGGAACTGCTCAGCCCATGAGGCTGGATGTCTCAGCTGGTCTTAAGTACACGCCGGAATCCCGTAGAAGTAAGCCCTAATGCCAGTCAAGGAATGGACTTGCTAATGAGAATGAGAATAAGCAGGCAAAGAACAAGAGCTTCCTCCCTCCACGTCTAGTTTATAGGCCCCCACGCCCCCGTATCCCCCCTGCCCCACCCTGGAGGTGTGGTCCAGATTAAAGGTGGATCCAGGCTAGAAGTGGGTCTTCCCACTTCAAATGAAAAGCTCCCTCAGGTTGGAGAGATGGCTCTGTGGTTTAGAACATTGGCTGCTCTTCCAGACTACCTAAGTTCAATTCCCAGCACCCGCTTGGCAGCTCATAACTGTAACTCCAGTTCCATGAGATCTGACATCCTCACGCAGACCTACATGCAGGCAAAACACCAATGCACATAACATAAAATAAATAAATCATTAATATTAAAATTATATAAAAATAAAGAATGATCTTTAAAAAAAAGTCAGGTGGTAGTGGTATATTCCTTTAATCCCAGCACTCAGGAGGCAGAGGCAGGTGGATCTCTGAGTTTGAGGCCAGCCTGGTCTACAGAGAGAGAGAGTTCTAGGATAGCCAGGGCTATACAGAGAAACCCTGTCTCAAAATACCCCACCCCACCCCCCCAAAAAAAAAGAAAGAAAAAGAAAAACATTTCCTCCCTCACGGATGTGCCCAGCCATTTGGGTTTTAGTTAATTCCAGATATAGTTAAGTTGTCAAAACCAAGACTAGCCATCACAGATCCAGTGTAGCCCAGGCTAGCCTCTGGTCTCACTATGTAGTGCAGGGTGACCTTACATTGCTGATCTTCCTGACTCCACCTCTGAGTGCTGGAATTACAGTTGTGCATCATCACACTTGGATCTGAAAACCCTGCCTTTTGATTATGCTGTCTAGTTCATTTACATTTTTAAAAGATGTAGTAGGTTTTTCTTTGAACTGCCAGCTCCCAAATAATGACCTAGAGATTTCTTATTAAGTATGAAAGCTTAGCCTTAGCTTAGGCTTATTTCCAACTAGCTCTTAAAACTGAAATTAACCTGTTTATTCATCTGTGTTCTGCCATGTATGTGGCTCATTACCTTTTCTCAGTACCTTCGTCCATGTCTGGCTGGTGAATCTCACCTCTTCCCCACCCCCACCCCCAGAGTTCTCTCTCTTCCTGGAAGTCCTGCCTATCCTCTCCTGCCAAGCTATTGGCCATTCAGCTCTTTATTAAACCCATCAGAAGGTGCCTTGGCAGAGACACATCTTGATAGTATACAAAAAGATTACCCCACAACGTATCTCCCTTCTTATCTAAATAAAAAGAAAAGGTCTTAACTCTAACACAGTAAAACTATATACAATAAGAACAATTATCAGGTAAGAATTATATTCATAATGTCCAGTCCATTTGTATTTGGCAAATTCAGAGAAAATAGTCTATTATCTATTCTATCTTGGTGAGTTCAAAGTTTTATACCCAATTAAACCAATTTTTATCATAACTTGTATTACCAACCTAAAAATATCTTTTTAGACCTTAGATAGTTTTCTTAGATAAACAACTTAAGCTTCTATGTTGCTCAATCTTTATAAACTTTACATCTCTTCTGTGAGTTTTTTTTTTAATTTGGTAACAGAGAAAATGGTAAAATTATCTAGTCTTCAACTCCCATCGGAGACCTGAGGATAAAATACTGCTTGAGTAAACAAGAAGTGCAGAGCAAACAACTTCCGAAACTATAGAAATGACAGAAACAGCTGGCTGCCTGGACAGTCACCCAAGGTTCCTCTACAACATTGGAGCACCCATTTTCAGCCTACAGGCCTAGAATATCTGATAGACTTTTCTGTGAAGCAGGGATTTTGAAGGACTAGCCTACCTTGTCTTGGCAAGTTCAATAGTCACCTTTTTGTGTGTCCTGCTTGTCCAATTTGGACAGCATACTGTCAGCAGTTGAGGCAAGGGCAGTTTCTTGCCCAATGGCTAGCTTTGCCACATTGAAAGCAAATTCTATATGGAGATTCTTTGATGCCCATTATCTTCTCTGAAGTAGATTGGTGTTGTCAGGAATAGATGTGACTTACTATCATGAAAAACCTTATGTTATTAAAACTTTTTAAATGCCATATTCTATAGATCTCTGAAGTGCTTGAAGACTGCCTCTCTACCTTAATATATTGGTTTAACCTTGAAAACATATCTAACATGACTACAAGTTGGATTTTTATCTTAATTATCCTAAACAGTAATAGTAGTTTTCAAAGACTAGAACTTTATATTGCAATTTTAAATGAGTCTCATAGGTATAATACTTTACAGTATGTTGTAACAAAAATAACCTCAAATTTGTATCAATATATAAAAATCCATACCACTGTAAAATATTTGAGATGAGTGTTTTTTTAGTCTAAAAGTAGATTCATTAATCTATTCTTTTGTCCTATCATTCTTATATTCTCCCCCTTTTTTTCTTTTAATCTCCCTCCCCATTTTTGGGATACTATTTAGAAGAAATAGGATAGAGAAAAAGAAAAAGGAGAAAAGAAAGAAATTCCTTAATCTAACCTTCTTTGTTTAGCTTTCTCCCTGACCATGACCAGTAACAACTTGCAACTAACCCTTCTAAACAGTGACAAACACCCAAACAACCAAACAACCAAACAACCAAAAACCACCCACCCCACTACTTGGGAATGTGGGCATCATGCTCTTAAAATTACCTCTTGATGTCTGGGGATGAAGGCATCTTTAGGGGACCCTGAGAAAATTGGCATAATTAATGGTCAAGTCCTGGGAGAACTAGCTGTATCATTTGTTTTTCAGTCTCTGTGTGATGAGAAAGTGTAGGGCTTATCTGAAGTTCTGGCTGGAGTAGTCTGTGAGACTAGACCATCTTAGCTGGTTGCTTTGAAGTTGCCCTGAATGCAGATTTCTGAGGAAATGGCAACAGAGGCATTTTGAGAGACTGGCTCACCTGAGCTTCTTGTCTTTATTGGTGTCTGGTTCTTTTTTTCTGAAAACACACAAACTTTTAAAGGTAACATACATATCTGCATTAACACAAGTATGGGATATGCACTGGCACAAGTCAGCTAAAGATGATTTTCTGTTCTATAATTGAGCAGGTAAATGTCACCTGTCAACTTTATAAGTCCATTTG